CTCGCCTGCCCGGCCCATTACTAGGAGAATTTTACCCGGCCCATCAGTATGGCTTAGCTTTTCCGTTTTGAAATTTGTTGGGCATAGGCATACAAAACTTCAAATACATACCTTACCCTAAAGGCTAAAACCTGCCTGCCGCTACTAATTCAAGGCGGCGGCAGCAGCGCCGGATACCGAATTTGAGATGTGCGAATACCAATGTTATAAAAACCGAACCGGATATCGAACCGGATTTGTGAGAGGTTTAAGGTTTATCGGTTAACCGGTGTTTAACCGGTATTGAAAATCGTTCATAAAACTGGTAGCATGCATGTTATCAATTTCTTTTATGATTTTATGGTAATTAAAAAGCTTAAATTAAAATAACAAAATCAGAAATTAAAATAAGTAAACAACAAAACCAATGTGGAGACTTTAGTGTTCATGTAATGGAAAAGTTTGTATTTTGAGCATTGACACTTGACAGTCATTAAAGGGAAAAGAAATTATTGGGTTTCAACTATTGGAAAGAGTTGGGGTTTTAATAGGAAAGAGTTAGTATGCCTGACAATTAATAGGAAATTGTAATAAGCTATTCGGTGTGTTGGTTCTTAATTTCCCCAGTTTACGTTTCTCCAAATTAATTTAATTATTGAATTGTTCTTTAATCTTCTTGACCGATTAATATATCATTGAATTGTTTCCTTTTCCAATTAAAACTTTCCATATTCAAGTTTTTAATTTAATTAGGTAAGTTAACAAGTATCCAAACCGCCAGTTCGGGTTTTCCGGTTTTGCCAGCTACCCGGTTGAACCGATTAAGATCCGGACAACTATATTTCTTTCCATTTTATGCCTTCCGTAACCGGATTTCTGTCCGGACCCGGTTTTGTCCGGTCTAACCGGCCGATCCGGAGCGGAGCGGTTATGATAACACTGGCATATACCACATCTCTAAGATCCCAATCATCGATTCGTGACAGCATGCTGTATCAAACCTCAAATTCGCAGTGAAGAGTCCGTCAATCAGCTACTTGGTGACAGCGGCCAAATCTCCGAGCACCGGATACTCAACGTCAATTGATATCCTCGATCGTTCGTGATGGAGGCACCGCCGGCAAGGGATTACTCTGAGCTGCCGGATGACGTAACGGTGAAGATCTACGGAGAGCACTTGAAGACAATTCCCCAATACATGGCCTTCTCGGGAGTGTGCAAATCTTGGAGATCCGCCGCCCTCCAATTCAACAACCGCCCCTGTCTTCCTGGCCTCCTCGTCTCCCAACCAATTGAGAAAGCTCCAACCCTAACACAGTATCTTCGCCGGCAAGCCTCTCCCTCCCGCGGTAAGAAGCATGACTTCGTCCCTCTTCCCATGATTTTCAAATCCTATCCTCCTCCTCGTTATCGTGATCCCCAGCCGCCGGATTGCTAGAGGCCGCGAGTCACTCTGGAGGACTTGTTACCCGCGCTGCTTTACGACCATCCGCCGCCGCCGAGAATTCCTCCCCGCTTGACCCTTCCTAACTCCACATCCCGACTAGTGTTGTGCGGCGAAAAAGACATCTACTTGTCTTCCAAAGACGGGTGGCTCCTCCTCACGCGCCCCAAACCGATGGAGCTCTACCTCCTCAACCCCATCACCAAATCCACCGTCCCGCTCCCTCCACTCTCTTTCCCCGCCGAGCCACGCCACGTCATGACAGGCGTCCTAAGCTCCTCCCCTGACGCCAGCTGTGATTGCCACGTGTTCCTTCTGTTCCAGGGTTTGAGCGTCACATTGGCGTGGTGCAAGGCCGGTAGTAATGATAATTGGGAGGTGATGAGTAGCGAATCATGGCACCTCAACCACCGGGCCCAGGCCGCCAACTACGTCGGGGGAAACTACCTATGCGTGGTGGACCACGAGCATGTTCACATTCTTTCCAACCTCACGGCGGAGGCGGAGGCGGAGAGGTGGTCGTTCCCGCTCCCTTGTTCCACCTCAGATTGGAATACTACTCCTTACAATTCGCCTTTGTACGACGAGTTGGGCAGCATCAATTACTACTTGGCCGACCTCTGCGGCGGACTCCTCCTAATCTTGCTCAATCCACGTTCCTACCATCACCATGGTGTCCAATTCAAGGTGTACAAGTTGTTCGCAGCAGAGTCCAACACCATCGATTGGGTCCGAGTGGAGAACCTTGGCGAGTACGCTGTGTTCGTTGGGTCCCACCAGGCCTTCACTCTTCCCGCAACCTACGACCGAGAGAAAGATGCTGCTGATGATGGGATCAGAGGGAATCACATCTATTATGTTTGGGGGGGTTATCCTATTCCTAGTCAATGTGGCGCCTACAATCTTCACGATGGAAGGGAAATACCTTCATTTTGGTTTCTACCCATGCTAAGGTAGGTAATCAACCTTTTTGTTGTTGTTGTTGTTGTTGTTGTTGTTCATAATCTCCAGTAATTAATTCTCTAAATGTGATTAGTTTAGATGTCTAGTTAATGCATTTTCCCTGTCTTTCTTGCTTTGTAGGGATATCCATGAGTACGAGAAAAGCAAAAAAATATTATCTCAAGATGATTGGGCCACATGGGACGAGGATGATTACTATGACCACGACGACCAATGCAGATTCGAACCTATTTACGGTAGCGATACAACCGATGATGACGACGACGACTACAGCTTCTACAGTCACTACCAACAAGAAGCTGATGATTACTATGATTATTATTGTTGTGATCATGATTATTGTCTCCATGGTGATAGTGATGATGACGAATTTACACGCTTAGGCAATCGGTTACGAAGAAGAAGAGGACCTATGTCGTCTTTGAGGGCGACTTTGAGGAAGAGAAAAATGTCGGCCAAGAAGAAGAAGAAGAAGAAAGTAGTGAGGGACAAGGCTTACTGCTACTTATAGAGTTGTAGTAGTGGGTTTCGTATGGTAACCCCTTCCTCTTACTCCGCCTTTTGCCACTTCTAGTTGCTTGCTATTTGGACTTAATTGTATGTTACCATTTGTAAATTCATAAATTGTAATTAAGGTTTTCCCTTTGGAATTTGTATCAAGTTCACCTTAATAATATCACTATGCTATTGGCATATGATTTGCATGTTATAAATTTGTATCAAGTTTCTCCCTAATTTGTTCATTTGAGATTTGATATATGGGGGTAAACTTTTTTTTTTATACATATACATAGGAAGAAGATTAATTCCTCGTTGTCGATATCAGCAACTAAAAGTGAGATTCACTTCTACAACACCGTTTACAATCGCGAAGAATACCCGATTGAAATTGAAGTGTTGGATTTCCCCCCCCCCCCCCAGAGATGTGCAAAGATCCCGACCAAAACTCGGCGAGTGCAATGTGTTTCCGTGAGGCAGTACAAAGGAGATCAAGTTGTATGCTACGTTCAGAAAGGCTGAATCGTTCTCGAAAAGGAATTTACTCGTTCTCACCCAATTGGTAAATTGATTCCTAATTTATTTATATAATCTCTATTTCTTTTGTTGACGCTAAAAATCAAAATGACAATGTGATAGGTTATAGATCATACATATTAATTATCATTCTTATTCATATTTTACCGAACTGGTATTTCAAACATGGTGGCACGTTGCTACATATCCTCTCCACTTCCTTTATTACTGACTTCGGCAAAAGAAAGACTGACATCCAGAATTGGGTGAGACTGTATAAAACCGTTCCGACAAGCTCAATCCTGCCAGCATAAGAGAGTGACTTAGCTTGCCAACTGTTTACTTTTGCTACCATTCTTTCAATCAGAGCTTGACAAGAAGACAAGCTGAGCTTCCCAGAGATCAGGGGGACCCCCCAGATAACGGACTGGGAATTCACCTAGTTTATAACCATAGCGAGATGCCCTAACTTTCCTCTCTTCCTTGTCAATCCCCCCAAAGAAGACCTCACATTTACTGGGATTAGACTTAAGCCTAGAGACTCTTTTAAACTGCTCAAGCACTCTTTGCAGTTCCTGAATCTCATAGTTAGAACCATCTGAGAAGACCAGAAGGTCATCCGCAAAGCACAGATGGGTGAGTTGGATGCCTTTACACATAGGGTGATAGGGGAAAAATCACTGAGAGCAGATTTGTCCAGCAGACAAGTGAACACCTCCATAGCTATAGAGAACAGGTAAGGTGATAAAGGGTCACCTTGCCTAAAACCTTTCCTAGCAGGAAAATAACCCACCAGCCCGCCCATTGAAACAGACACTCAGCATAAGAGTACACACACACTAATCCAATTAATGAATCTGTCAGGAAACTGCATGCATCTTAACACTTGCAAAATGAATTCCCAGTTAACAAGCTCATGAGCCAAAAGGATGTTCTCACCAATAAGTCTGCCCTTGACAAAAGCAGTCTGATTTTTGCTAACTATGAAAGGAAGAAGAGGTCTAAGCCTATTAGCAATAAGCTTGGATATGCATTTATATAAAATATTGCAACAGGATATGGGCCTAAAATATGGGCCTAAATTGTCATTTTTTTTTTGGAAAAAAAAGACTAAAATAAATATAATTTATTAGTTAAATTTTTTGAAATACGAGTATTAGTCAAACGGTAACTCTCCTTGACAATTTTGTTAGTAATGTTGACTTGGTAACATGATGATGATCTTGAAGAAAAATTTGGCAAACAACATTTCATAATTTTAGTATTTTAATTAACAAAAGAGTTATTAAATTATTAACGGTAGCATAGAAATGGTTAATATTTTGATGTGTTACAAAAGATTTAGCTAATTTTTTTTTTCAGTTTTTCTTTTTTGCTAATAGTTAGAAACATTTTGTTAATAAATAAGTTGTATTTCCTCAAAAATTAAAATATAAAAACAGCGATGGATCTTATGATTTTCCGTAAGAGAAACGGTGGCTAATTAATTGATTGCATAGATATGGAGTGAAGGATTTTTATGATGTAATGTGAGAATCGACTATGGTGAGGGTTTGGTAAAGAAATTGGGAAGTGGGGAGAGGAAGAAATATGAAAGACACCCTTATTTGAATTCTTTATTATTCGATAATCTGGCTGAATCATAATAAGTGGTAATATATAGATTCCAAACTGAAAACCCTAGCCGATCTAAAACATAAACGAAATACTAAAGTGCTCTTTTCGCAGCACAGTATTGGGAAATGCAGGAGAAATTAAGCCGGTACGTTGTACGTACTAGAGGTAGAAGTAGTGCACTTGGTCCCTGACCACTTTCATCTTCTTCTTCTTCATCTTCCTCTTGGTCTTGTTAGTGAGAGTTGCCCTGTAGGACGCCCTATCCGACGTCGGATCTTTCTTGTGTAGGCGGCTGGAGGACACCAGACGATGGTGGTAGTACTTATTAGCAGTCGCAGCAGACTCTAGGATATCCTCCATCTCCACCTCATCATCGTCGATACAGTCCTCGCATGATTCATGACCACAGCCTAGTGCTTGGAATCTGTAAACACAGTGGATTAAAATTGTCATTACCATCATCATCATCATCAAATATTATATTACTTCTTGACGATTGGTCTTCAATCTGGAGGTCTGAATTCCAACATCTAACAATAATACAAATAAATGTATATATGGCATTTAACAAAAAGAAGCATAGAAGATGATCACTGTCCCGAGCTTACTAGCACGAGAGGTGTACTAATCAATTAACCCTGAAACCTACTTTCTATTCTAACAAAATAAAACAATTCAAAATTTACTCTTAAAATTTTCTCAACTTTTTCGTTATAGCATTAAATTTCATATAATAACCATTATAAAGACAAATCTGTGTATACAAATGCATCAAGTATTTATAATTCTAGCCTATATCACTGTGAACAAGTGCCAAATCTAGATTTAAATTAAACGAATCACATGTGTACGGCTGCCCTAATTAAACTTTTAAACTTCAAATTCCAATCCTGGAACCAATCAAAAAAAGTTTTTTCTATAAAAAGAAGAAGCAAATATTTATTAGATACCTCATCCTTTCCAATGACAGAGATCGACAGGCGACTGGGGATTGAAGAACAACGACGGCAGGCGGCAACGAGCTGTCTCAGGCCTGAAGAAGAATACGAGGCCTAGTCGGAGAGATCAATCACCACGCCACGGTTCAGGGTACCGGCGGTGATCGGAGAATATAATGCCACAAAACGGGCGGGTTGGCTCGGATTCACGGATCGTCGATGCTCATGCCGCTACGGCGCTACGTTTGCGACAGCCGACTGGGATGGAGTGAAGAATATGTGGAGTTGGAGTTGGGATTTTAGGGTTTGAGAAGAGAAGAGAAGAGAAGAGAAGAGGGCAGCCCTAGTTCAGCATTGGGCGCTGGCGTGATCTGGATTCGGAGAGTTGGGGTATTTATACATGAAGTTTGTACGAGTAAACAATTAATAAAAGACGGGAAAGGAAAATAACTTAAAATTTTAAGGCGGTGTTGGCTATTAAAAAAGTGCAAGAAAGAAAAAATTCTAGTACGGAAAAAGAGTTGAGGATCGCTATTCTTGGTCCTAAATATTCTTATTCGTCTCCCTAATTTGGATAAATTTATTCTAATACCCTTGATTTATTTTAATATCTCTTAAAATAATTAATGTGTTCAATTAACTTTTGTATATAATATATTCCTAGCATTTATTTTCTCACCGCAAAGATCTATTTCTCCATGGAGATCAAGGAAAAAATCCAAAAAGTACCACTGTTTAAAAAAAGAATTCCAAAAATACCACCCAACCCCAAAAAATTCCAAAAATACCACCCTTTTTCAAAAACCGCCACCCCACCCAGCGGTTTGGTCCAAATTTTTTTTGGACCAAACCGCTGGGTGGGGTGGCGGTTTGGTCCAAATTTTTTTTTTTTTCCGACCAACTCCTAACTTCGGTCGAAACTTCAAACGAACGTAACTTTGCATTCGGGTATCCGATCGTAGCGATTTTATTTTCATTTCGCATAACTTTTCAAGAGCTACAACTTTTACTAGGATAAAATTTTCAAAACAGGAACTATTTGTGGATATACGGGACCTTGAGAATAACTTTACCTTTACTTTTCAGAAATCCATGTACATTTTGAAATTATGATTTAAAAGTTGTAGATCTTGAAAAGTTATGCGGAATAAAAAACAAATTCATGACATTCGGATTTTGGAGCACAAAGTTATGGCCGCCCAAAGTTTGACGAAATAAAAAAAAAGGTCGTTCGGGGTGGCAAATGACGTTTTTTCGAGACGAAGACGGAACCCGACTGTTTGAGACTTGCAAGATCTCAAAAAGTTATTCGGATTCAAAAAATGGAGGCCGCAAACTTTTTGAGATCTTGCAAGCCGCAAACCGCCGGGTCTCGCCTTTCGTCAAACTTTGGGCGGCCATAACTTTGTGCTCCAAACTCCGAATGTAATGAACTTTTTTTTTATTCCGCATAACTTTTCAAGATCTACAACTTTTCATATATTAATAATTTCAAAATGTACATGGATTTCTGGAAAGTAAAGGTAAATTTATTCTCAAGGTCCCGTATATCCACAAATAGTTCCTGTTTTGAAAATTTCATCCTAGTAAAAGTTGTAGCTCTTGAAAAGTTATGCGAAATGAAAATAAAATCGCTACGATCGGATACCCGAGTGCAAAGTTACGTTCGTTTGAAGTTTCGACCGAAGTTAGGAGTTGGTCGAAAAAAGAAAAATTTTTTGGACCAAACCGCTGGTTGGGGTGGCGGTTTTGGGCCAAACCGCCACCCCACCCAGCGGTTTGGTCCAAATTTTTTTTTTTTATAACCGCCCCCTAGGCCCGCGGTTTGGTCCAATACCGAAAAAGACAGGAAGAGATGCAAATATTCGTAAACCTACAATCGTAGCAAATCCTAATTTCACCCTCCACGTCGTCGGACACCATCGCCGTACTCATATCCGCAATCCAATCCCGCGGAGGAACAATTTCAACCACGGACGCGCCTGACGAATAGACTATCACTTGATCCACAACGGCAAGCTTTTCAACAATGTCAACCTAACCCTAGATGAACTCCTCCTGGTCGACAGCAACGACGAATAGCAGCGGCGGCGGGGAGTGACCATGGCGGCGGCGGTGGCGGAGAGTAAGAATGGGTGGACGACAGCTTTTTTGCGAGATTTTGAGAATCGGGTTTGAAGTTGGGGACAGATTGTAGTTTAGGTTTGAAGTCAGGGGTATATGTGTCAATTCAGTGTAGTTTAGGGCGATTTTTTTTTTAATCTTAGGGCGACGAATAGCAATTCAGAAAGAGTGAGGTCGGGGTACAAATAAGAGAAAAAAGTCCAAAATTACCATTATTTAAAAAAAAAATACAAAAATACCATCCATTCCCAAGAATTTCCAAAAATACCACCCTTCCCCATATACCGCGCCTCGAAGGCGCATTTCCCAGTCAAACCGCGCGAGCAAGGGGCGGTTTGCCATTGGGCAGCTGATAAAACGCGCCTCCACGTGGCGGCTCATGCAACCGCACGATGGGCAGGCGATCTGACGGCCTAACCGCCTGCCAGCGGAGTGATTCGCGTCGCCCACGGGAAACCGTTGCCTGAGGCGCGCTTTGCACGTTGGAAAATGTAAACCGTGTGCTGGAGGCGCGGTTTTGCGTGGGGTAAAAAGACCAAACCGCCCCTCCAGCACGTAGTTTCGTCCCTATATAAACCCACTCCTTCCTCCCATTTTCTGCACACCAAACCCCCTTTCTCCTCTCTCTCTCTAAGTTCCTCACTCTACCCATCCCCCTCCCCACCCAAAAACCTTGGAAGTAGTTGTTTTGTTGGTTGCGGTTAAGTCCGATCTGCCTTTAAAAAACTTTTTTCTTTGGTTTTCACTAAAAAACCGTTGAATCTCTGTCCGGGTTCTGAAAAAATGGCCGATTTTACCCAAGAAGAGGGTATTTACTATGATGATTATCAAGCGGTACGTACTCATTTTACCTAATTTTTGTTGTTGTTATAATGGTTTATTTAATTTATATACTAATTGATTTATGTTGTAGTTATGCTATCGTAGGTTGGGCCGGATGTTGATATATACAATCAACGATATTATGTTGATCAAGGACCGATTGATCCGACTATTTTATACGATCAATACAATCATCGTTCAATAGACGTTTGGAACGACCACAAGGTACATATTATTTATTATCACTTTAATTTTTATTTTGTTAACGTAATTTATTTGTTTGTACAATAAGTTACTAAATTGTTAATCGTATTGATTATTTTCAATAACTTAAATCAATACAATACAACACTTATTTAGACTCTTTATACGGAAATGCATGTCTAAGGAAATGGGGTCTTAAGCGATCATCATAATCCTCCCATTACCTAGGAAAATCGGCTTCTAAGCGATCCTCGGATCCCCTTTTTCTGTCAAATAGACTGTGTTTCTAAGGAGATGTATACCTCTCCTAAGAGTATTACGAGTGTACTTGTATTGCTTTAAATTATTGAAAACAATTAATACGAAGTACAAAATAACATATTTGATTTTATGTGTATGTGTACAAAAAATAATTTTACTTCAATTTCGAAAATGATTTTAGTTATATTAAAATTAATGTTTATTAGATAATGTATATTTCTCGGAAACAACCTTGATTTAATTAATATTGTTTGTGATAATAGATTTATATATGTATAAATCATCAACTTATAGTGAAAGTTAAATTCTTCTCTAGGATGTATACCATATAGTCCGCTATAGGGGAACAACGAATGTGCTTGAATGAAACGACATCATCTTGGCCTTTCTAAAAAGGGCAAGATTGGATCCGATTAGGAACTTTAATGGAATAAAGATCGACCGCCAACTCATCACAGCATTGGTAGAGAGATGGCGAAAGGAGACACATTGCTTCAATTTTCGTGAAGGCGAGTGCACCATCGATGGCGATGTTATTTGTGTGGACTCTACGCCACCACCTAAAAGTTGTTGCCAATAGGAGTGGTTGGCAGCATTTTATATGGACCGTCACCGGGTTGTGTCCGCCAGAAAAGGGATATCACGATGCGGATGGTAATCCACCATGATCCCTGGCCAAGTACATTTCATGATGCCACATCCTCGGCTACTTGGGCCGATGGTTCATCCTCAAGTCCCCACCAAAACTTCTCACCTTTGCATCGACCGCAACAACAATGGCAGTCCACTCCGCACCGTATGAGTGTGGATAGTCCTTGACCGCACACGGAGGGGCCACCTAGCACGACACCGCGGCGGCATAACACGGTCCAACGCCCTTCTACGACGAATAGGAATCTTCCACCACTTCCAATCCCTATTACACCTGGTGGACCAGTCGCCCATCGCACAAGGAAACAGTGGGCAAATCGTCGAAATAATGCATGAGTGTGACAAGTTGTGTTTATTTCAAGTTATGTTTTGTTTAAGTTAAGTTAAACAAGTAGTTTTTATTTGAAGTGATTTTTTAATTCATGTAGAAGTGTGTTTGTGTGAGTGATGTGTTTATTCAAAAAGACGGAACATTGCATCGAAGTGTGTTAATTTTGGAAATCTCCTATGCCATTTAAGTACACAAAATACAAGTACGTAACCATTGAAATTAATACACTCTGTGAAAATGCATGAAATCAATCTATGCGCCATTATCCGGGTTCACCACATCAGGCCTTGCATTTTGAGGACCAATTGGTCCGGGACATTTTCGTTTATCATGCCCTGGTACTTTGCATATGGAACACCGCCTTGGCCCTCGCGGTGGTCTTCCAATTTGATCCATCTCATTTGGAATCCTTTTTACACGCGGGCGACCTGTTTCCCGCCTAAGTCCGATTGGTGGGATGATGACATTACAACTGATGAATATACGAACAAAAGCGTAAGGTAAGCAAGGCTTCCGTTATCAACAATACAAGTACACTCGTAAGACTCTTAGGAGAGGTATAAATCTCCTTAGAAACACAGCCTGTTTGACAGAAAAGGGGGGATCCGAGGATCGCTTAGAACCTAATTTTCCCAGGAAATGGGAGGATCATGATGATCGCTTGAAACCCCATTTCCTTAGGCATGCATTACTTTATAGAGTCTAAATAAGTGTTGTATTGTATTGATTTAGTCCTCGTTTTTCCATTTAACAAAAGATATAGACCACTTAAATAGAACGCTTACCGATCCACCATAGACTATCAGCAAACTTCTTTCGCTTGAAATGATGGTTCCAGTTGCTCGTGAAATGCCGTATGCACCATCTCTGTGACCAGTTCCAGGTTGGATCCAAGCCTAAGATAGAATCTCTTATACCGGCGTGGCGATAAGAGATGATGATTTCTTCATC